AATAAGTGTAACGAATGTATCACTAATCTGATAAATGTATTCTTGATTTCATTGACTTATCCAATGTACTGTCGATCTAGTAAATTACGAATTTAATAAATTGATAGCAATATGTTTCAGAAATATCACAGTACAGCGATTCTATGAATAACAAAAAAAGTCGTTTACCTTTAAATGAAGCGTGGAAATGGCATATTTCTCTTTGGTTTCTCTCTTCTTCAGAGTTACTTGGAAATCACCGTACAACCGGTGGCAATCAGTTATTTCCGAGGGTGGAATGTACTCGGTGCACTTTTCCACTCCATTTTCAACGAGATCGGTTAACATGATGATCACTTTGCACTGCTGCTCCCAGATCATTCTCCAGAAGTCGGTAACAGTCGACTCCATTGGTGCTTGACAAGCGATATAGTACCTCATCGCGTTCTTTGGTCCCTGGAAATACAAACATTTATATGGAACAGGCGAAGTGGCATCTCACTCGATCAGTCAACTTTTATTCTTCATAGGGTCAAGTACGAAATTGTGGAGACATTGGAATAGTTTAAAGTTGTTGTTACATTATTTTCAATCTGTTGAAATTATTAAAAGTAGAAAGACATTTTCATGTTGCTTATGTTTCTTACAATTAAATTCGACAATTTTTATTTTCTATAAATAACTGCCGTCCAATTACAACAAATATGTGAGTTTAGTGTAAATGTTATAACAAATTTTGATCTCGTGCGTGCTCTTTTTCTGTTTTATATTACTGTTTTTTTTTCTCTTTGATGATGTGACTTTGGATTTTTAATGGAGTTTGTTAACTGAAATAAAATCATGTCGCAAACATTAGTATAAATAAAAGTACCCGCTAATGCACAGCAACATAATGTATCCATAATTTTCAACAGCGAAGAGTGATGAATGAGAAATAATTTTAGATGTATAAATCCCGTTTTTATCATAAATAATTTTGCATTACGTTTGAAATCAAAATTAAATGCCTCAGAAACTGGAAGTGTGTAAATCGCATTTTTATTATAAATAATTCTGTATGGACTTTGGAAATCAAAATCAAATTTCTCAAAAGCTCAAAGTAATGGACAAAAGGTAATTTTACGTGTGTAAATTTCATTTTTATTATAAATCATTTTCTACAGCCTTTTCAAGTCAATATGCTTCTGAGTAGCCAAAACAACTGAACAGAAACACTTTTCAGAACAGTGTTTCGTAAACGTAAAATAAAAATCGTTTGTTGTAACATATACGAAAAGTTTGTTAATTTTTACAGTAATCTAATACATTTGCATGTATATTTAGATGAAATTAGTTGCTCAATTTCAGCATACATATTGGTTTCGCGGCCATGAATGAGATGTTTGATTAGCAATTAACATTAACTAACAAACTCTGATGATGAATTACTAGACATTAGTATGTCGGCAGGAATCTGATAGTTACAACTGAATCGATTTCAATCTAAATATATAATACCTCCGACAAATGTGTGCGAGTGCTGGATCAGGATATTGATTCATACCACTAATTACTCGGACCATGCTCATGTTAATTACGAAGTAGAGGATATTGCGCCGAATGAATTTCGATGTGCATTGCATAACACATGTACATTCACTAATTGAAACACGGATAGTTTACATATAAATAGATACATACATTAGGTAAAGTGTATTCAAAGAAACATTGATCCTAGGAAGGCAGACATTAGTTAAGTACATTAATTATTCAAAATATATTTTTGAACATGCTTCTTGTAGATTTAATAACTTTTTTTTATTCCTAGTGTGACAGCAATTTATTTAATCTAATTGTCGAAAATTGAGTAATTAAGTACTATAATGTATAATATTGTACAATCACCGAACATTTTCAGTGATGTGGAATTCAATCGGAAGAAAAATTAAAAACAAATATTCTAATTAAATTTGATAGATATTTGTGTAACGAAATATAATATTAAAATATTGTCAATACATTATCGTACAATATTGTACACAATATAGTAACAATATTTTAATAATACAATATCTGATTTCATAAATATCTATCACATTTAATTAGAATAATTTTCATGTTTAATTCTTTCTCCGAATATATTATTATACAATATTGTTTTTGAAAGTGCTTTTGTGCACTTTCAACGTAACTGTGAACGTATCATAAAGTTCGAATCATTACAGTTGTAATGTTATTTTTGTAATTAATGTACAAAGAGGTCGTGGAATTTTATTTACGAGGAGCATCAAAATCAATATCCCGTATTACTAATTGAAGATAATTGTTTGCAGAATGAATCAATCGCAAACGCTTATTGATGCAGATCAGGTGGTAATATTTCTTCTTCGTATTTACATAATCACGACACCGAATCGATCGCCTTGTGGATGATCAATTATCATTTCTGTTACTACAAAAGCATAATTTCAACTTCCTAATCGCTCAGTGCAAACAGGTGTTAACGTCCGTCCCGCTTCCGCGTGTTGCTGCGCTCGCAGCTTATGCAATAAGCATTCGTATTCTTCGTAATGCATTATGCAACATCCTTTTCTCATGCAGACAAAACGCTGTGTTAACTATTGCCTTTGCTTGGATCACACGGAACACACTGATGTGCTTTGTTAACTATCTATCTGCGGCTGCCTGGTGCACTGCTAACAATTACAATGTTGCAAGGGAGTCTGCTAGAGACTCGTTAATGTTTATAATAAATGCTATCTCGAACGCAATAATTGTTACTTCTTCTTCTGTAAAGAAAATGTTAATTTAATCTTAATTCTTGTATCTCACAATCAGATTTCCCATCTTTTTTTTAAATAAAATTAAGTGGAAAATAAATTTATGCGCTGTATGCAAAATTAGTACCCTTGGTAAAAATCATTATTAGACTGCAGATGCTATGCATTTATGACAAAATTGTGCAATTGTGCAATTTGAAATAATTGGAATAATAAATTTGAAAGAATTTAAAAATGTCTCAATGCATTATTTTTAATCTATTAAAATGATTGAAGAAAGAATGGACCTGCTATTTATTTTCAAGTTTTTGCAAACGATGCAGAAAATTGATATTTTGCTGAAAAATTCAGCGATCTAATCATAATTGAAGCTGTCGGATCATTACTTCTGACGATATTTCCCATTTAATCTTTATGATTTCCGCAAACACTGAACTAATTAAAACGTATTGCACCAGCTGTGGTAATTGGTAGCGAAGGTTGTAGCAGGTTCTTAAATCTCTGTTGGTTCAAATCTTGGAGGATTAATATTTTGTTTTTTTTTATTTAATCGTGTATCACGCGTCACGTTCCAATGAAATTATTGTAAATTGAGAAGAGAGACTGTAGAAAAGAATACAAGGGAAGAAAGAAAAAGATATAAATATATTACGAAATTGAAAATAGAAAATGGATTAATGAAAAGTACAGATAGAAGATATTAATCTCCCGATAGATTAATATCTGTCACCCCCTAATATCTATCACCCCTACACATTTTTATGTATAGTTTAAAATTAAAAATAAATTTTTTACTTTCTGAAAATTAAAGAAGTTAATAGGGCGGTCACATGTAAGTGAGACACCCTGTATAAACTAAGACGCGCACCGAGTCTTTCTCGTGGAATCTGAACACACTGTGTCGTCACTACCCCCAGCCCCCGAGTTGCCGTCACTCCGTTCTCTCAAATTGCACGAATCATCCCATCGATAAGGGAAGGAACCCTCGGAAATACTCGACCAGCTGAAACGTGCAAAGCGTTAATAAATAATAGTAAAATACTCACCCTGACGTAACTAGCATTAATGTATTCCGTAAGAGAGTCGTTGTTAATTTTTTGGAGCGGCACCCTCGTTTCCGGAAGTGGTATCACGTTCGCGTATCTGTTCTTCACTTCAGCCCCGGCCGGCAGCTCGTCTATCTTCGCCGAAATTTGCGGAATGCTGGAGAATTCCTCGTTGATTGCGTTAACGTCGTTACAGAAAGATGAAAGCCCGGCAAAATTCAAAGGGTGGGACGGTATGGCGCTCTGGAACGAGAACGCAATGTTCGTAGGAATACGACTTTCGTGGCTTTTATCGCGACGATAACAGGGCTAAAAGCAGTTTCAGCAACCGCCTAGTCGTCGCACAGCGAGCTGAAGCGTCGTTGTTTGTGGCCAAAATGATTTCAGCGATACTTTTAAAGTTAAGGTTATGCCAAGGTTATTTTTTTTATTTACTATTAGTTATTAAATAAATTCTTTCAGTGGACAATTTGGGAAGAGGAGATACGATTATCCGAACCTCGCGGATCATTTTTATAGTTGTTGACAATCGGCAATTATAAAAACGAGCCGCAAGGCTTGAATAATCTTTCCAAATCATCCATTTTTGTTTACAAGCTGGAGGACAATTGGAGAGAATTTACTGTATACTTTAACTGTTAAAGTATTGTCGAGTCAAAAATATATTAATAATAATGTATTTGCACTCGAGAGGTGACTCGGAGATGGAAAATAAAATTGCTATATCACGTGCTAAAATCATTTTTACATTAGCAAATTTATTTATATCTGAAAAAATTTTATTCAAATTCATATGCATAAAGTATACAGTAAGTCGTATGAAATGGAAACACTGTAGGTTAGAAAGACTGTTTCAGCAACTAAAAATCGATTGAAATTGGTGTTACACTTGAAAACTACTGATTCTGTTACAATACGGTGAACTCTATTTTTTAATATTTGCCTGAATTTTCTTGTGGCCGATGATTAAAGTCAGCAGAAACTTATAAATGTCATCAAAGTTAGAGGTTATGTCAAGGTTAGAGGTTATGCTACATAGTTTATTACATGCATATTAATCCTTTAAGTACATACGTTGCAATAACGTGTTAATCATTACTTTAACAATAATGTTTAAATCAAAAGAATTATGTATTGACAAAATTTCAATTTTTCGTGAAATTTAAAGAAGTTGCCACCATTATCAAGTCATATAGAAAACTTCATAAAAAGAAAACACTATACATACAGAAGAATGAATCCTTGTCTGTTAGAAACGAAAGGAATTGGCTATTATATGGAATTGTTTAAAAAATTAACGGTTGATGCAAGCTCTGGCTATGGGATGGTTCGCACATACACACTATTCTTACCATGATTGACGTAATTTCGGATCTAAAGAGGTCCAGTTATGGTAGACGTATTACATTTTTTGTAGTGTTCCGAATGTAGAGAAGAATAGCGATTGAAAAAGAAAGTGGGACTGCGGATGAAACATAACAGGCCTTGTGCAAGCTCAGCGATTTAATAATTTTGAGGAACTATTTAAATAATGATAACACGAATAGTAGTATGTATAAAAAATTAATTCAAACCTGTTGGTACATGCTTCATAATGATTCACTTAAAATGTTTTACTTTTGTCCCAGCACATATAATTATTTCAAATCGCTAATATAATAGTATGGATTTTGAAGCTTCGAAGGGTTGTCAATCGATTTAATTTCTTTTTGAGATTGTAACTTCAAAAATTCAATTTAGGCCACGAAAAACGGTTTCCAGCCTACTGTGCACCGCGTCGTATCGGTTTCTCTGGACGCAATTTTCTGGATTGCTTTCAAAGTTGTCGCAGTTTGATGAATTTAAATGAAGGCTAGTTTAACGTGGTTAAGTCGGCAGCGTTCTTTGATATACTATTTAATCAGTTTGCGCGGCACTGCTTTCTCGTTTAACGACGTTTATTACGCGCGGAATTCAATTCCGTGCCCACAAATTGTTTTCTATCGGGTCGCTGTACAGGGTGTCGAAAAATGTTCGGTCTTGGCTACCGTAGGCACGCATTCTACTGCGTCAAATTTTGTCTTCGTAATGAGTCCACGTACTCGTTTAATCTCATCGGGGATAGTTATTTCGTAGCCTTTAGATTCATTTAATCAGATCGATCTATTTGTACGAAATGAATTACAATATCATGATGATGAGAATTAATTACAAATATCATGATTTAGATGAAGTCGCTCATCAGATATCTAGATGGAATGTGAAAGCTATATTGTGGAAGCACTGATTTCTTATAATAAGAAAAATGAACATGAAACGAAATAATGTTATTACATTAGTGTTTGAATGTACGAATAATATTTGAAAAATTCTACAAGAACACAAGTCTGAGAAATTTACCTGTGCAATGAACTTATATTTACAAGAACGTGATAAATGCATGCTGTAAACAGAAAAATAAATTCAACAGCAGAACATCGCTTCCAATTAAAAGGAAAATGTAATAAACGTTAAATTAAACATCACATTAGTCTTATTCTATGATATGGACCCCCTATAGAATATCTTATTGAATTTATTGTCCCTATACTTAGAGACGTCTTGTGGAATTTTAATATTACCATTTACAAACTACTTGTAAAATTTTGCGTTATCTACTGAACATTTCCCTTTTATTTATTCAGAAATTCTCAGAGGAGATTTATGTATACATTGTTAATAATCGAAAGAAGCTGCACCGTAATTTTCATCAGGATTAATGTTTTAACGTGATGTATTAAACTCCCTTTCAAAGTAACTGATACTGTTTAAATACCATTTAAAATAATTTTTCCTCTTCAAGTGCCACTTTTCAGATCACTGTGTCATCAGTATACTGCGGATCTTTATACAAAATATAAATTATCTGTATTAATTGCACCACGCAGAAGCTACATAAACATATTTTCCTTTTTAAAAAATATTTTATCATTTAAAAGTAATTCAACAGCATCCTTAACATGAGAACCACGAAGGAGGGTAGAAGGGTGGTAGAAGTAGGTGTAAACCCCCTCCAAAAGTATTAGATCACTTACAGAAAATGAAATAAATTTGAGAAACCTATAGGAAATTATTATTTCAAACTTAATTTTATAAAACTGTAACAAGTAGATTACATATATTTAACAGTATAATAAAAATAAGGTCAACTTTATAAAACAGAATTAATGTTTCGTTCCGGCAATACATCCACCGCGTTTTTAATTATTTCTTGCACTAATTTCGGCATCCGTTTTATTATTTCGTCTATTATTTCTGTTTCCATTTGGTTCAATGTATTTTGTACTATGTTCCACACATTTAGAAAACACATCGGGAAATGATGCGTGTCTTACCAAGCGAGGAGTATGAAATGAACTCAATGTACGTTTTTAACGAACAGAATGTAATAAATGGGAAAATTAATGGAATAAGTAACAAACACTTATAACTTAATATGTACCTTTGACGATATGACGCCATAAAATTCGCAGACATTACCTAAACTGAATGAATAACTGCAATTTATATTAAATAAGAAGGTGCTGTAATACTTTTGGAGGGGAGTGTACGTCAATCGTCGGTAGTTCTTGTGTTGAATTCTTGAAATGTTTTTGCTATTTTGCAGATGATGCATTAATTTTTTAAATAGATGCATAAAATCCGCAGTTTAGTTATGAGCCTAGGTTTTACACTAATTGTACTATAAAAATTGTCAAAATTGCAATGTTAATTATCTTACATCGATTGCGAAATAAATCATCGTTACTTAAAATCGACTAGAGAAAAATGATGGAATAAATTATTAAATGTATTTATACTGATCATTACTTACCGAATCCTCGAACGTCGGATTCCCATAACTCCTTTTCGAAGACCTAGCTACCCCTTTGCGTCTCACGCTGTTGTACGCGGAGACACTGTCTACGCTGTAAGCATCCAGAGAGACCGGACGACATCGCTCGCCATAGTTGAATCTCGTCTGCCTTTTTCTCATTATGAACTGCAAAGAAAAATTCCTCGATAAGCCGGTTTAACGTCCGTTGCCTAAAGAATACGACATTAAAAACTCAGCCACTCTGCAAATGAATCGTTTCTAAGCCACTCGAGGCAGGATATCAACGTTAATGTGAGGTGGTAGCTCGTTCGATGACACTTGAAGTGTTGGTATAGCGCTCGACACTATTTCTTGTCCATGCACACAGGGTAATCCATTTGAATCGATCTAGACAAATATATCTTGCAAACCGTCGATAATAATGACGAAAGTTTCAAACAAAAGTTGGATAGTTTTCGGGGTCACATAATCAGTTTTCTTAAATGGAATCGCATATTTTTTGATGGTCTAGTCGACGCAGCTCGTTATTTTTTTACATAAAAGTACTAAATTGTTTATTAGAAGATAATTAATTTGAGTTTCCACATGTTTCAATAAAGTTCGTAGAAAAACCACATTAAAAAAAAAATTGATGAATAAAATTATAAATTTCGTTCGTTTTATTTCGTTCTTACACGATTTTCAAGAGGATTGTATATGCCATTCGTTGAATATTTATTTTCTTAATTAATATATATGTAATTCTGTATTCGGCACAAAAGAGTGTCGAATACTATATACAAAGGTAATACTTTCAATTTTAATACTGAGTAGGTTAAAGGTTAGAGTGTCTAATCAAGGAACATGGAGCATTTCAATGGATAGTTGCAAAACTAAACAAATTAAGCAGGGCATAAAGCAGAGTCCGTTTGCACTGTTGTTTGTTAATCCGAAAGTAGGTTATTTGATAAATAATGCAGCATGATTTCATTATTTAAAATGATGAGATTAGCACCTTGAGGGCTAATGGTACTATATGTTGTAAGCAAAGAACTTATTATTTTCTAATGAATTTTCTTTATATCAATGAGTGTCACACGAGATCTCATTAGATAGTAAATTCCTTAATCTATATAATTTTCACGTAATAAGTTTGTAGAAAATTATGTTTTTCAACAAATTTGTTTTTTTAATGCTTAAAATCATTTCCAAATTACGTGTTCTGTGAATAATATCATATGTCATCGCAATACGATTTACAAAGAAAACTCACATCTGACTTGATTAAATCATTTTGATAAATAACTGCTCTATTTTCAGCAGCACATTTTCTAAAAAAAACTATGAACATCAAAATGTGCTCCTGTCGAAATCATTCAACACTACGTGAACTATTTTTCGCATATATATATATATATATATATATATATATATATATATATAATAATAATAAATGTATTATACATATATACATTATTAT